TTTGCATATGAACAAATGTCAAAGAAAATTCTGAAAAATTAATTGCGCACCACATATTCGATAAGTTGTCGTGTTATGTTTTTAATATGTTTTCATTGAAAATAAGTAACTGTTGTGTTGAATATTAAATGATTAATTGAGATATTATTATGTTGATTGATTTTATCATTATGTTAATTCTATATGGCTCGTGCATATCCGAGTTTCTAATAACCAGGTTCGATTAGACTACTATATTGATCTAGGCCAAAATCCTTCCGCTTAACATTGTTTTTCAAATAAGTTTTAAATAATCTTTTTGAAAGGTAAATTTTTTTAGGTATCAGAGCTCCGGTTAATTCCGTGCTTCGAAACTATTATTAGAAAATAGCATACAAACCTAAAGGGATTTACAAAACAACCTCAAATTTTTTGTGGAAGTAAACTATAGTTATTGGAAAGCTTGTATGCATATTTATGTTAATTTATATGATAAGGATATGTGTGAAGTTATTACTCAAAATAATGCTATTGACATTGTCACATCTAAGCCGGAAGCATTATGGAATAATGATGATAAGAAAAATACATTAAATCTCATTAATTGTTTAAATGCACTTGGTAATATTATTTTCAATGAAATTTCTACTAACAAAGTTGTGAGATATCTTACTATGAATTGGAAAGTGAAAGTCACCGCGTTCAAGGAAACTAATGATTTTACCACACTTGATATGACTATATTGTTTGATAAGTTTGAACAACATGAGCAAGAACTTACTTGCTTAGACAAGCATGCTAAAAAGCTTGAGAAGAAAAATAAAAAGGATAAACACACGGATAAGGAGGAAAGAACAAAGCATGAAGCTCTTAGGGCATCAAGTTCAAGGTCATCAATTTGTGAGCACGTAATACGATAGTGATCTTAGTGACGGTGAAGAATTAAATTTTCACTATGGTTGTATTGCCCAAACGCAACCAATTGTTTCACTAAACCCCAATGACTCAATGAAGATTGAGTACCTAGCCTGTCTTATTGTTTTGTAGGAACATTGTCTTGACTCTATGAAGAGAATATGGGTTCTCATTTATGATGGATCAAGGCATATGATCATATTCTAAATCTATTGAATATGGGGCAAGATGATGGATTATGTGATCTAGAAAGCAACGATAAGTTTTGTTTTATTGGTAAAAGATGTGTAAGTTACTTTTGATATTGTATCCAAGAATACTCGGAAAATATATTTCATTTCATGATGTAGGTTTATCTTCAAGAGACATACTCAATGATCCCGAAGAAGGTATTGATCAACTTGAATCGGTGAAACATGAGCGGGAGAAAGATAACTAACATGGAAAGCATAAATGATGAAAGTTCAATCAAAATGAATGATCATCAAATTAATGACCTTCTTGGATTCATCACAAGGTATACTTTTGGGTACTTTGTCAAAGTGAAAAAGGATAATATCATGTTGTTCTAAAACCTTTGTGGCACACTTTTTATTTGGTGCAACTTTCTTTCGAGAGTTTCGTGTGAAATGCAACTGCATCCTATGTCATATTGTTCGATGAGGTAATACCGATTTAACTTTCGATTTGTTAGTAAGTTCTCTCTTTTTTGTTTATTTCTCTAAATACATGAGATACTTGATGTATAATATATATATTATGAGTGTTCATTTGTAATATAATTCTTAATTGATAATCATAGTGAGTTATCAATTTATATACTTAAAATGACTTCATCACATTATATTTTCATGTATTTCTTATAAACACTTATGTGTACATAAGTATGTTTAGCTTCGTTAAACATCAAGCATAACACATTTGACATTACATCATATTTGATTCTACTAACATGAAACTTATCAAAAAATTCTCTAAGCTTATGTGGGGAGAATTTGAAAATAATCTTATGGGGAGTTGAATTACTCTTATGGACTCCAAATAAAGTAACTCAAGGAAGGAACACATGCATGGGAAATTACCTTCGCGGTCATGTTGAAAAAGGGGATGTTGTGCTCGTGCATCTTGATAGTGAAAATTAACTTGTGAATGTTTATCACAAAAATGTTTGCAACCAAACCATCTTTTAACAAACATATGAAATTGAGGATTATTAATGTCTCCAGTGTTGCCTTCTTTATTATGATGCTTGCACTTTTATACTTCTTCTCTAACACTTTGTTTGAGTGTTTACATTATGTGAGTGCAACTTACATTCCATCAAAAGTGATGTAATATTATTCCAAATTTCTCCTTGAAAGTAAGATTTTCTTAGTACATGTTTAGTTGATTAAAAAATGCTTACTATGTTCTCAAATGATGAAAACCATGAATGTTCATTTCTGAAAATTTTGATTGATAATCATTGCGTATTCTCAATTTATATGCTTATAATGACTTCGTGTATTAATTCTTTCACATTTGTATAAGTTTGTTCTTGTACGTACAAGTATGTGCTTCTATTATCATTTCTTGCATTTGTGTATGAGTTAAATGTGATCATGTTAATTGCATGTACGACTCACGTTATAGTTGAGCCACATTTTATGGCAATATTTTTATTTTAGATTGAGTAGTGACATGTTCTTGTCACTATGCTAGGCACATGCGTGTGTGCCATCGGGAGTTCCATTGGTTTGTGTTACGAAATCGTGACGCTATAGAAGCAACTTAACTAGCTTACTCTTGCATCGCATTCATTATTATTCATGCAATTGCATTACATGTCTGGTAATGTTTTATGCATGTTATATATTATTATTTTTGCATCACTGTATATATATATATGGGGATATGTAATTGTATGCTCTTCTTTGCAATAACGCCTCTTTGTGATATATTAGTATTGATATTGGAATATGATACTTCTCACGATTTGCCTTCTTTCTTTTTTATGTTGTCAAAGGTGGAGAAGATTATGCGAGATGAAGATGGGAAGCACAAAGTCAGGGGAGCCTTCGATAACTACATGAAATGCATCATCGCAAGTTTTATCATCATCAAAAAGGGGGAGTGTGTGAGTGCAACTTCACTATTAGATATTTTGCATGATGTCAAAACTCAGAAAGCTAGCATTTCAGTATGATGGATGGTTTCCTTATGTCTTGCGGCACTCTTTTGCATTATAGGTCTTAGGAATCATCAAAAAGTATTTTAAAATTGACTCAACACATTGAAAAACAGTTTCTGCATGTTTTTGCATTGCATGTGTCGATACATTCGATTTTTAGGTCGACACATGTAACTCAGTTTTTAAGCTTGTAAGCTTATATAAGTCATAGGTCGACACATACAAACTTCAGGTCGACATATACTGAAAGATTTCTGAAATTGTAGAAATTCTTATTTTATGTGTCGACACATCCATATTTCAGGTCGACACATTTACTCACATTTTAAAGCTTGTAGCTTCTGACTTGTTCAGGTCGATACATAGAGTCCGCCAGGTCGACACATGCATTCTTTTTATAACGTATGTGTCGACACATACGAATTTGAGGTCGACATATAAAATTTGTTTTGGTCAAACTTTTAATTTCTTTTATTCTGAATTTTTCCTTTTTGCCCTAAATGTTTCCGAATATAAATATATCATTCGTGCATCATTACAACTTGATGATACCATAAAATTAGCCTATATTTCCTCTTCTTCTTCAACCTTCCAATCTACGCATACACACCAACATTACATTGTGATGATGTTCTGTCGGGATGCCATCTAGACGAAGAATTGTGGATTTCCAATTGGTTTGAGTTGAGATTTGTAGGGGTCTTCATCCAGAAAAAACCATCGGATTAGTACTTCAAAATCATTTGTTAAATTAGGGATTTTCGTGCAAGATCGTGCGAAAGGAATCGTCCATGTGAAAAATCCCTTGGAATGTTTGAAATCTTTTCAAGGAACCTTAGAGTGTTTGAAATCTTTTTAAGGAAGTAGCAAGAATTGGACGATAGAATCGGTGATCTGGTGTTGATAGTGTGCAATCAGATTTACTCGAGTGAAAAATCCTTTGGAATATTTGAAATCTTTGCAGGGAACCTTAGAGTGTTTTAAATCTTTTCAAGGAAGTAACTTAAGCGGCGAATAGGTTGCATCTATCTGTCTTGGTCTTGTTGAAGAACAAAAGAAGAGAAGGGGTTGAATCGACACCAAACGATTATGTTTTGTATTAGTTGCTCTTAACACTTCTCTTGTATTCACACTTTTGCAAAGTAAGAAAATATCTCAATTCCACATTGGAATTAGACGCAGACGTACCCACATGAAAGGACGAAAATGGAGAAATGTATAGACAAATCCTTGTGTCTCTTTTCTTTTATTGCTTTACTTGCTTTAATCTTCATACATTGATTTTTCAAATAGCATTGAGTAATATATCGACGCGTAGGAATTTTTCGAAACTATTTTTTTTTATTTGAATTGTGTATTAAGTTGCTTATAATCACTTTTGATTCTAAGTGCTTTTTCACATCATCAATACACAAAGGAAAATTCCGAAACTTTGAAAGTGCATGCCAAGTGTTTGACAAATTATTTAGCTTATTTAACTCAAAGAAATTGCAATGTTTTTATCTCTTATTTTTATTTACTCTCTATATGCAATATGTTGAATGTGTTGAGGATCTATTCACCCCCTAAATCCAATGCCGTAGTCTAACAAGTCTGCCAAAAGAGAATGGGTGTCAACTAAATTATGAGGCGAGAATTTTAGATCAGTTCAAACAAGATGCTCCCATTCGTCATGGAAAGATGCCATAACTTTTTTTTAAAAGAGATTAAAACTATCCGAATAGGAACTCTACTACCACATTGAACCCCCACTAAACCAATATCAAAAAGAATGCAGCTGATAATCGATACCTGGACTGTATGAATGCAGAGAAAAACTAATAATACACAAAATTAGTTAACACCCTTCAGATACAAAAGAGAAAAGATTTTGTGCAGTAGGTTTTAATCAAGAAATTTTGTGGAGTCTAATCATTGTTACACAAGTAGATTTTGTCTAGGCAACTGCAACAACTTCTTCATCATCAAAACTCAGGTTTAATGTCTGTAATTTGAAGCCTAAACCTTGTATGGTTTCTACAAGACTAGAAGCCACTCCTGTTGCTTGGATGGTTGTCTGCTTTTCCAACTGAACATAATAACCACAAAAACTCATTAACAATCTAGTTTCATAAGGACGAAGCAAAATCATAGAAAACCGATGGTTTAGAGTTTCACTTTCATCATATGGATAATAACAATAAGATTTTCTCGGAAACGACTATTGTATTGAAGATGTTATAAAGTGTACCTCTAAAGTTGTGAGTCCCTCGTATACATTAACCTTCAAATTTTTAACACCCTCAATCTTCTGTAAAAATACGACAGAATATACATAATATTTGAAGCACGGTTATATTCACACTGAAGTGACTGAACAGGGGGAAACAAAGATTAAGAAAGTTTATAGAGCTACCTCTAAAACTTTGGTCAAAGATGGAACAGCTGTTTCATTCAATGTTCCCTCTGCCTTCAAACACATGAAAATAAACGGTTAGTTTAGTTTCAAGAGTAATACATTGTAAAGTCTAGGTGAAGACAGTTGCACTATCATTTAAAAATATACAAATTACGAATCCATAGTCATTGATTCAAAGCACATTTATGTGCCTAAAATATATAATGCAGGTCAAATTACTCATGTATCATGTTTATATCAGAAAGATGAGAAGTACACATACAAGTCCTTAAATATGCAATTCATCACTCAAATTAGTCCTCAAACATAAGGCACTTTAAAGATAACTAGAACAATGCAATACATACTTAAGGGACTTATGGAGTAATTCTCATCTTTCTAAGACTAATATGGTTCACATAGTGAGATTTACCCTATTTTATTTTATCTAAGCTAACTCTATATTCACAAACCCTACCTGCACCATTTAGAGTAGTAATCAAAATTGTGAACTGTAAAAAAGCCATGGCCTTCATCAATCTTACAAGTCATTACATCAACACAAAAATCCCACATTAACCACCCCCGTCTCTTCAACAAGTAAAACCCATTTCATCAGTATCCCAATTTCATGTAATGACCCATACAATTCAAGAACCCCAATTGCAATAAAAGATTTTAACTTTAGCCAAAATGTCAAACAAATAACACAAATTATCATCTGGGCATTTCAAAAAATCATTTTTTTTTCAAATGGGCTTAGCAAAAAATCAATTTTTTTCACATGGGCTTTGCAAAAAATCAATTTTTTTCATATGGATTTTCAAAAACAGGTGTGTACTAGAGTCACTAATGTTGTACCTGAAAGAGCATGGTGAGAGTGTCTGATGGTGAAATGGGAACAACAACGGTTTGTTGCTCCGAGGTTGATGCTGGCTGTTGCTGTTGTTCAATCTCAGCAACAACTGGTTCTTGTTGTTGTTGGGTTTCATCTTCCACTGCCTTAGCCACAAGTAAACAGCGGCTCTTTTTAATTGACAGTGCCTTCAAGCGAGGGTGGCATGGAAAAGTGCAAAATTGAAGAGATTGAGAAGAAGAGGAAGAAACAGGGAATGTAGAAGAAGAAAGACGAATTGAGTGAAGAGATGGAGATGAAAATAGGGTGGCCATTTTTTGATTGAGAAACAGTTGGAATTGGTTTGTTTTGGTAGCTTTTGAAGAATTTGCCACTTGACACCCTATCTATCTATCTAATCCAAAGTGAATTTGTTATCAGTACCTCCACCCCCTATTATTTGAGTCTTGGTTAGGCCCAATAATATACATTAGCCCAAAACATTTGTCTATTGAATTGTATGAACTTTTTTTATTAATTATATTTCCAGAGAAAATAAATCTTTTTAATAAAACTAGGAGTTTTTTTTTGTTTTCACAATTAGAATCCGGTTCACTGGAACGATTAATCTGGTTCAGAGATAAGTTTTGATATAAAGTGATTTCAGTCTCATTCCAATTGTAGTTGCGGGAGATTGACATGTTGTTCTTCTTATCAAGTTCAGCGTCAATCACTACTGAATCAACTATTGATTATTTAGAACTAACACTTTTTCTATTCATTGAATTTTCTTTTTTTAATGAAAAAAAAGTATTATGGATTTTAGAATTCATAAAGTGTTTTTGGGACTTTTGTATTCTAGAATATAAATTGTTGAAATCATGTACAATTAGAATAAACTAAAATACTCCATTAAATCATATGAAATTGAATAACATGCTACATACCAAACACTAATAATAAATTTTGAATAATTACAAATATTTATAAAAAAACTAACAAAATCATAGATTGGACAAACTAGTTACTTTTTCATATGACTCAATCGTGTACATCATGATCTCATCAAACGTCCTACAACGAATTAGACTTAAACAAATAGAATAATCATATTTGATTACAAAGTGCCTAACTCGATAGGGTCCATGAAACGATGTTGACCAAATATTGAGAGCATGGTTCTCACATCATCATCATTTTGTAGTTGAATATTTGTAAAGTGAACATGTTCATCATCGTCGATTGGTTGACGACAATACTCAACATTGACCATCGTTCTTATGTCGTAGTGGTTGAGATTAGGATACATTTAGTACATTAGGTGATTCAAATAAGATAGTGTAACATGAACATTTATTTAATGATAAATGATAATATATAAAAAAGGGGTGGAGAATCATTAAAGTACAATAAAGCTAACCACATAGCACAAGTTCTAAGAGACAACAAAAGATAAAAAAGAAGAAGATAAAAAAACAAACCAGCAAACTCAACCGACCAAGGGGTTCCTGTCGAAAACGGTTCAAGCTACTAAAAATCCACCCCGATGATAACATGTTAGATCTCAAACTGACAAAACCACCATCAATATATTATATCCCATCAAAAGAGCACCAAAAAGATGCTAAAAACCTACCTCAGAACCAAGGCGAACACTCGATCCACTATAGGTGCAAGTAGAGGATAGGATTATAAAGCCGTGTTAGATGAAGATGCAAGAATTCAACTATGATCCACCTAGAAACCATTTATAGGCAAAAAATACACTTCTCCTCCACCTCTTTCGCTGATTTTGTGACTCCCATAAAGATTACATTATTTCAGGCTCTCCAAATGGACTATACTACAATGTGCCAAATAAAAAGGTAACCACCTTTATACCTAATCTTGTCTTCGATAGAAAGAAAAGATTCAAAAATCACCTTAGGGACATAAGAAATAACTACCTACCACCTTAACCACTTAAAGACTCTATACCACACAATCAAAGTTATATCACAAGTAACAAAGAGGTAAGAGATCCTCAAACTAAAACTCACATAAAGGATAAGAGATCTTAGTAGGGTATAAAATCACCTCTCTCTTAGACATGTTCACTCTAGTTGGAAGTCTATATGGCAAAAGTTGATAGAAGAAGACTAAGAGTTTAGAAGGATCCCAACTACTCATCATAAGGGAGATGATCTTACTATATGCCAGAAAAGGAGTCGAAGAAGAGATCGATATAACCTTCTAGATAGGGTATGCGGAGGCCATTGAGAAAGTACCTTCTCTAAAATGCTTCAAAATCTCACTTTTCTCTATCCTGGGAGAGAGTGACATTTTGAAATAAAACTACAAGCTTCTAAAAAACAAGAAGCTCTCTAAGAAAAAAAGTTCTCTGCCACTGAAGATCCCAAGATAAAACCTCATTTACCACTAAGTCAGTATTTACCACTAAGTCAGTATACTAAAGAGAATTATAAAACAAGCTAGGGAACTTAGTTTTTAAGGGGATAGTCCTTAACCAAAGGTCCTTATAAATGGAAGTTTGAGTATCCGACCCAACTTTCCTAATAAATGAGGACAATTCCTCTTGTTGTACTAAACTTCAGTTATGCCATAATTCATTCTAATTGGGCACAAGTAAGAAGAAATATTTGTTTTTTTCCTGATGTGAACAAAACACATTAATTTATTCAAGTTCATGTGTATTTTAGTCCACAAAAAGTGTTGGTGCAATCTATACCACATAAAAGAATTCAACGTCACATTTTAGATTATATAATTAAAACTATGACACACATCCCTTATAACATGTTTAGATTATATTATTAGAACTATGCCAATAAAAACCTCAACATGGGTACGAATTACAGAATATGGACTATGCTAAATACCTATTAGCATGAGTATGGATTATAGAATCTAAAATTTCACATTACAATATTATGGTTCATATATAATATAACAATATAATTAATAATCTAAAAAACTTCTAAAAATTATAATTGAACCGAAAACATCTAAAATCATATATAATGTAAAATGTCAAGCGACAAACATTACAATATTGCATGCAAAATATATCAAAATAATCCTTAAAAGAATGCATCCTAATAGATCGTATGAGAACCATTGGATTCCATCTTCATTCTCTTTGTCTGCAATGTAGCTTTGTTCCCTTCAAAATCCCATGTACATTCCCATGGAAGAGTAACTCGACAACCATGACTCATATGCATACATTGTGAAGACAAGTCTCTTATAAATATGTTTTTATGAAGACAAATATATGGAAGAAGGAAAAGGTTCAACATTGGAATAAAGTCTCAATTCAAGTTTAAAGTCTCTTAGCAAAGATGACTCAAAGATATGGTTTAAGGAAATAATTTGACCATGCTATGGATTTTGAAAGATAATCAAGTTAAGCTAAGGTACAATATGTTTTTCATTTGATATAGACCTTAGATGCTCAAAGAAAAAGTTCCAAACTCAATTTTTACTTTGTTTTCAAAATGGCCAAAATTGGCATTTTAAACTTTGAAAATTTTCCTAGTCCACAACATGTCAATCGATTACCCTTATATATAATAGTCTTTGCTGATATTTAAAGAAAAACTTGATTTTTCACTTAGGTTAATTGATTACCCCTCTAGGTCAATAGATTAACCATTCCAATTCCTTTAAATTTTTTAACATTGAATGACGGTCAATCAATTACCCCACATAGGTCAATCGACTACCCTGTGTTTCAATTTAAAAAATGCTGAACCAATGCACCACCTCTACATATCTAATGATCATAGAACATTTTCATACCATTGCATTTGATCATAAACATTTTTCAAACATTATTTATGAAAATTCAAGAGGTACATGGTTCATTATTAATAGAGGATTTTTTTTCAAATTCAAACTCACCTCTTTCCTGACATATGTTTATAGTGTTCAAATTATTTTTCACATAAACTTTTCTACTGCATAATTGTTATATCAGATAAAAAGTTTCATCTTCTTCTTTGAGAACTTGAGTTATATATCATTTGATCATATTGTTCCAGAAAAGGGAAGAACAAATTTGTTAGAATTGTTCGTGTTATCAAAATTCTATTGTACTTATATTTTTTATTCAAATCTGTTGTAACATTGTATCAGTATTATGTAACTTATGTACCAGGTTGTTGGTAACAAGAGTGTTAGAGATAATGCAGAGTCATTTCTCTTTGTGTTTGTAATATGGGGTGTGTAATATGGTGGGAGAACTGACTTGGGTGTTTTGCATTTTATCGCAATTGTTGCGGATAACAAGAGTCGTCACCTACTTTTCTTTTATCCAATAAAGGAAAGGGTGAAAAGAACAGGAAAGATATTTTTGAGAATTTTCTTGAGTTCGGGGGGTAGATTATGAAAAGTGAAGGTATTAGCATACTTTTCATTTGTAGTTATCTACGGGCTCTTAGTTGCTAGCTCACTTTGAAATGCTTTGTAAATGTGTTTGCGTTTGGTGTAAGTTTAAAAATATTTTGAAAATGTTTTTTCGCTAAACTTTGTAATGATCTCGTCTCTATAAGAATGTATACAAAGTGTTGGTTTTGAAAATAGTTCAAAGAGATGTTTGTTTTTTGGAAAGATGTTTTGTAAGTATGAGTGTGAACATGGTTTTGTTTATGAGCAAGCAACTACGAGCGTTCTACATATTCAAAAAGTCTTTGTTCTTTTCCTCCTCCTTTAGATATTTCTATCTTACCATTGATTGGTAAGAAGCCCTATCATTGGATATGAAGGGACAAGCGTGAGTCTTCATACAGTCATAGAAGACAACATTGTAGGATATCTTAGCAATTTGTCATAAGAGTCTAAGATCGTTTATCGAAGGCAACATTGAAGGGTCATCGAGGGACTACGATCTTATAATCGAGGGTCTTTGCTAAAGTATCCCTAAGAGGGGGGGGGGGTGAATTAGGTTCTTTAAAACTTTTTCTGAATTGTATGAATATTTTTGCAAGTGTTTCTTTTCTTTCTTTTTCTGATAAGTGATGAAAGCAGTAAATGCAGAAAGTAAAGAACACAATGATGTATCCTGGTTCCCCTCACAGTCCGAGAGTACTCCAGTCCCCTTTCAACATGAAAGAGATTTCCTTATTGTTGGTAATTTGTACAAGACTACCTAACAAGCCAAGAACAATCCTCTTGGACCAAGAACAATCCTCTTGGATTTTCACTAAGACCACAAAGAGAACAATCCTCCCTAAGTGTATTTCTTGTTTCCAACAATCCTGAAAACAAGTACAATAGTTTATTTGATTTTGTATAAGAGTTTGAATAATGAAGAAGCAATGTCAATCACTTGATT